GGCCACTCTGCATCACCTTGGCCGGAATCTCAGGGCTAGGGTCTGCCCTACGCCTAGCACAGCCTGGCATCTGGACCCCAGGTGCCTAGGACCAGTCATAGGTGACTCATTTTAAGGACCCGGCCACTCTCAGGCTGGGGTAGGGACTCCTTTTCTTGCACCCTCAGTGCAGTGCTCTCACTTACCTCTCTCATGTCCCATAGCCTGCATTTATTCATCCCCTCTCCTCCACTCAATACAGTTACTGAACTCCTGAGTATGACAATGATGATGATGAAAGTATCCCTGCCCTGAAGGAAGTCGGGGGTTAGTAAAGAGAACCAGAAAGGTCATGACCAGAGGAAATGTTCACTGAGCACTTCCTGTGTGTCAAGGGCTGTTCTAAGCACTTGGTTTTAATGACCTGCGAGGGAGGTAGCACTTAGCAGATGAAGTTGGGAAGACCAGGAGGTGAGGTAACCGGCACAGGGTGACAGATGCAGTGAGTGGCACAGCCTGGATGCAGACCAGGTCAGTGTGGCTCCAATCACTACAGGGATGGCCTTCAGCACTGGGGGCCGGAGAAGACTCTCAGCGAGCAGAGAGACCTGAGCTGAGCCTTGAAGGCTGTAATAGTGTATTGGTGTGCTGGCTCCTCCTACCTCCCTGCTGGTCCCTGAACTCCTTGAAGACAGAGGTTGCCTTTTATTTGGCTCTTTTCTCTAGGACCCAAGACAGTGCCTGCTATACAGCGGGCACTCTTTAAGAGCTGCTGACTAAATAGGCGAACTAGGAAAGCACACGGGTTTGGGGAGTAGGGCCAATGTCCTCTGTGATGCCTTAGTCCATAGCACAGCTCTGGACATATGAACTTTTTTTTTCCTTTTTTTTGGAGAGATTTTTGCTATAAGGCACATGCGCTCGCCAGAAAGACAGAGCGAGACAGAGAGACAGGAAGCAAGAAATTACCCCCTCTCCCCCCAGCAGAGATGGCTATGCTGCAATCCCTTCTCTTTCATTCTCCTTTCAGGATCTGGGCCACACACGCACCCATGCCTGGTGTGAATTTAAGCCACTGGGTCCGGGACTTGAACTGTGGTCCACTACATGGGAGTCCAGCAACATAGCCATTATGCCACCTGCTGGTCCCTTGTACCCCCATCTTTATTTTATTGGAGACAATCAGCTTTTATTTGAAATTCAGACTGAGACAGACATGCCTCCTCCATAGCACCTGGCTGGTTGGGGGCACTCCTAGGTATTACAGCTCCAGCATTGGCAGTGTGCTCTGGGGATGGCCACGCTGCAATCCCTTCTCCTCCATTCTCCTCTTGGGATCTTGGGCATGCAAACACACATACCCGGCGTGAGTTTAAGCCACTGGGTCCGGGACTCGAACTACGGTCGACTACATGGGAGTCCAGCGACATAGCCATTATGCTAACTGCTGGTCCCCGGACACATGAACTTGAACTGAACCCCACCTTGTTCTGCAGTGAAGGGTGGGCAGGGCCTGGATGGGAGCTGAAATCTCTCATTCCAGAAAGGGTAGGCACATTTCTTCTGGTGTGGCAAGCTGGTCCAGGCATGTCAGACATAGCCCAGGAGTTGGCTTAGTGTAGAGAAAGAGAAGAAAGATGATGAATGAGAATTCATCTATGGAAAGGCTGCAGAAGGGAAGGGAGGGGGGCATGAGGGGGGCAGGAAAACAGGGCAGACGGCCAAAGTGCCAAAGCTCCACCAACCATCAGGCCTAAAACCCCATGACAAAAGTCCAATGTCATCTGAGAAGCACTTCCCAGTTCCTTCATCCGTCTCTTCCATTAATAAGCATTGCCTAAGCCATAGGCCCTACAATACGGAGACACAGCCCTGTCCCCAGAGCACACTGCCAATGCTGGAGTTGTAATACCTAGGAGTGCCCCCAACCAGCCAGGTGCTATGGAGGAGGCATGTCTGTCTCAGTCTGAATTTCAAATAAAAGCTGATTGTCTCCAATAAAATAAAGATGGGGGTACAAGGGACCAGCAGGTGGCATAATGGCTATGTTGCTGGACTCCCATGTAGTGGACCGCAGTTCAAGTCCCGGACCCAGAGGCTTAAACTCACACCAGGAATGGGTGCGTGTGTGGCCCAGATCCTGAAAGGAGAATGAAAGAGAAGGGATTGCAACATAGCCATCCCTGCTGGGGGTGGGGGGCGGTGATTTCTTGCTTTCTGTCTCTCTGTCTCTCTCTGCCTTTCTGGCAAGCACACGTGCCTTACAGAAAAAACCTCTCTGTCCCAAAAAAAAAAAAAAATGATGGGGATACAGAGAAAAAGGGGAGAGGAAGGCCTTATCAGATGAAGTTACTCATTGAATGAAGGCCCCAGAGCGCTCAGCCTCCTGACTGCTTCACTGACAGCACTTTTAGGGTGGCAGGATTTGGGGATGGGCTGGAAAGACTAGTATAGGAGCCATAGCTGGAGAGAGGTATGCAGAGGCCAGACCACAGGGATCTATTGGGCAGTAAGGAACTGGTATTCCTTGTTGGCCATGGGAGCTATTGAGGCATCTCTAAGCTGGGAGGAAGACGCAGTTTCAACAATTGCCCCAGCTGGAGTGTGAAACAAAGTGAAGGAGAAACTCAAACTGGATGCAGAGAGGCTGTGGACACACCCAGACAGTCAGGACCAGGAGAACATTAAAGCTTTTAGAGAGAGGAAGCTGAGAGGACTCCCAGACTCCTGGCTTGGGTTTCTAGATCCTCTGGGATGGGGACAAGGAAGGAGCAGATCTGGAAGAACCCTCGAGTTCCTCGGGGCGTGTGAATTTGAGGAGGTACAGTCTGGTGCACAGCTGGGTGCAAGCATCTGAAGCTACGAGGGGCCTCTCTGGAGAATGGGACTTGGGAGTGGTCAGGCATGTGGGCCATTGTAGCCAGGGTCATTGCCAGCATGGTCCAAGGGGAGAACGAAGAGGAAAAAGAGAAGCTCAGGCTTGCCAGGTCCCCGGGAGAAGCCAGTATGCAAGGAGTAAGCGGAGCAGGGAGGCTGCAGTATGGTTGGGGCATGGAGGGACTGAGAGAGATCAGAGTGCAGAGAGAAGTGGGTGAGAGGATGTTGGTGCAGGCTGACCGTGGTCAGCAAGGACAGCAGGACTGGAGCCATCAGCCCAAAAGGAGTGTTCTCTGCAGTAAACCCAGGCTGTGTCAACTGTCCTGAGCCTCCTTCTCCCCAGATTGCTGCTTCATTGGCCCCTTGCAGCCTGCCCCAGAGCCCTCTGGGCCTTGTCCCCACACTTCTCCATCACCTGACTCTGCTACCACCCCCTCTCTGCCTTTATGATGCCATCCCATGGGGCTACATACTGGTTCGCTCACCCTGAGTGTGTTCTATGTGTCTAGGTTTACTGGGCCACATGATCTGTGAGCCCTCTGTGTCTCTGCTAGTCACTACTACCCCACATGATCAGCTGACCACGTGCCTTGTGTCCTTCATAGATGGGAAGCTCCCTGGGCCCATCCTGGCCCCGGTTAGCTGCTCAGCCAACCACACCTGCCTGACCCAGCCCTAAAAATCAAGGCCTTAGCAGGGCCCACCCTCAGAAACCAGGCCAGAGTCAAATTATGGTTGCAAAAAGGCAGAAAACTTTATTGACTTGTCTTTTCTTTTTTAGCAGAGAAGTTGAGAAATTAAAGAGCAATCAGGTTAGGGAGGAGAGGAAGCAGAGTGGGAGAGAAGGTCAGGAAGGGCTCTCGGAGCGGCCCGGGGAAGGGGGTCCCTGGGAGAAGAGGGATTGAGCCTCACATCCTGAGGCCCCTCCTCTCCCCTGCAGGAACCATCCCATCTCCTCGGTCTCCTGTCTTCTCCGTTGTGTGCTGCAGATAGAATGCAGAGGTTCCGGGCAGACTTAAGGCCTACGGGTTTCCACAGTGCGGCTACCGGAGGTGACATTAGTAGAAGCGGAAACCGTAGAAGAGGAGCTGATGGTGCCGGTTACTGAGAAACAGAGAGGCAGAGACACTCAGGCTGGGGAAGGCTGGGTTCCCCCAAGAGGACTCCCACACTCTTATTAGTCAGGTTGTGGGGACTCTTATTGGCCCCAAAGATAACTTCCCGCAAGAGAGCAAAGAGCTCTATGGGGCAGAGCCAACTGTTTCAAAAGGAAAATTAATAAGCAAATGACCACTTCCACCCCTCCACCCTTCACCCCACCCTTCACTCTGCACATCGGACCCCAGCACTGACGAGGCACCCCCATCCCAGCAGTGAACAGAAGCCTGAGCCCACCTCCCTCACAGAGATGTCTCCTTACCTCCTGAGGGAAAGCCAGTCATCCTGGAAGAGAATAGAGAGTAGCTGTGAGCAGAGGGTGACCGAGAACAGGTGCCCACCTGTGCTTCTGAGGGCGTGACTCGTCATTCACAGGCCCTGAGTGGGATGCTTTTCCCTAGCTGTGCCCCCAGCTCAAGGGGCCGCAGCATCCCGTACTCTCCAGGCCTGACTCTGTCTGCCTGCCTGTCTTGTCTGTCTGAGAGCCCTCAAGAGGAGACATTATCATCCCAAGTTTCAAGGTGTTTGCCAGAAAGCCTTGTCCTCCCTTGTCCTCCCTCTGGCCCATTCAGCAACCTCCACCCCTGCCCCTTCCCTGAGCCCACACAGATGGCTCTGTCTCTGCAAAAGACAGCAAAATCACCATATGAATGGTTTAATTTGACTGATCTGAAGACAAGCTAGTTTTGTTTTTTTTTTTTCTAATATTAGAAGTTCCCTCCATGGTCCTGTTTCTGCCAATCCAATTCAGAAGCCCAGACTAGAAAGTATAAAGGTATCACTCCTGCAGCCTCCTGAGGAAATTCCCCACAGTCTGATTCCGGAGAAGAGTGGAGCTCTGCACCTGGGTCTTCTTCCAGACTGTTTAAGCTAGACAGGGGAGGGGGTCTCCTCTCTGACGTGAGGGGGCTGATGGCTAAACCCCTGTCTGCTCCGACAGGAACAGGTCCTGTGGTCACATTCCCAGGAACAGGGCTAGGGAGGACCTACTTGGCATCCTGGCCCTCCAGCAGGCTGCGGTAGGTGGCGATCTCCTGCTCCAGCCGCGTCTTGATGTCCAGCAGCATCTTGTACTCCTGGTTCTGGCACTCCATCTCACTGCGGAGCTCGCTCAGCTGCGCCTCAATGCTGCTGATGAGCCCCTGGATCTGCTGCAGTTGCAGGGCGTAGCGGCACTCTGTCTCTGCCACTGTGCTCTCCAGCCCGGCTTTCTGGAGGAGTTGACAGAGAAGAAGTCACGGAGGAAGCCAGACCAGAGGGAGCCCTAGAAAGTGTGGCCCCTGGGCATGGGGCAGAAGGTGTACCATGCTCAGCTGGGACTGCAGCTCGATCTCCAGGCCCTGGAGCGTCCTCCTGAGCTCAGTGATCTCCGTCTTGCTGGTCTGAATCATGGCAGTGCTGGAAGTCACCTCCTTGTTCAACTCTGCACTCTGCAATTCAAGCAGGAAGAAGATAAAGGAGGAGTTCAGCTAGAAGACCCTGACCAAGAGGCTGTGTCCGTCTGGCACCACCCAGCTACATGAAGTAAAAGGGCAGGGACCTTGTTGTGGAACCATTCCTCAGCATCCCTGCGGTTCTTCTCAGCCATGACTTCGTACTGCTCCCTCATCTCAGCCAGCACTCGGGTCAGGTCAATGCCTGGGGTGGCGTCCATCTCCACATTGACCTGGCCTACCACCTGGTTGCTTAACTCCTTCATTTCCTGTGGGGATAGGAAAGAAAACTGTGTGAAGCTCCTCTTCCTCTCTCTCCTTGGCTCTGAAAACTGGTAGAATGTTCCGGAAAGCACTTCCAGGTCCCACAGTGGTGGCTTAAGTTTGGCTGTAATAGAGACCTTCCCTTTTCTCACTCAGTCCATGGCCAGCCTGTAATCCCTCCTCACCTCCTCATGGTTCTTCTTCATGAAGGCCAATTCCTCATTCAGGCTCTCAATCTGCATCTCCAGATCCGTCTTGGCCAGGGTCAGTTCGTCCAGCACCCTGCGCAGGCCGTTGATGTCGGCCTCCACGCTCTGACGCAGAGTCAGCTCATTCTCATACCTAAATTTTGTTGTTGTTGTTGTTGTTGTTTTGAAAAAAGCAAGACATACATGATATTAGACACTCCTTCTTCCCCCTGCAGTGTACTCTGCTACTTCTCCCAGAGCTCCTAAGATGCTCCTGTTTTCTTAATTGGATGAGCATTTGTCTAAAAGAAGAGACTTCTTCGCAGGCAGCAGGAGGGAAATATACTCACTTGAGTCTGAAGTCATCTGCAGCCAGCCTGGCATTGTCAATCTCCAGGATAACCCGGTTGTTGTCAATGGTGGCTGCCAGGATCTGCAAAATACAGGAGAAAAAGGTATAGAGGGTCCTTGCGCTTGGGAGGAGAACTGAAAACACAGGGGCAGGACCGGGTTCTCATCAGACACCGCATCCTAAGTGTCCCATGAGCTGGGACAAAGAGGCACTGCTCTCTGGGTCTTGGTTCCTCTTCTATAAATGGAGGGTAGAACCAGGTCCTCTCAATCTGTCCTGTACCTCTAGCCTTCCCTGTCTGCGCATGATGGAGAAGATCTGGGATGTGCATTTCAGGGGACAATCCTGCTGAGAAACTCCTTGGGTACCTATGCCTCAGCAGCCAGAGAACAGCCACTTCTCCAGGCAGCTGTCTCGAGAGTCTTCTCCTTATAGTCAGTAAAGCTGTATCTCCCCATATTCTATGGTAACTTCAAGGAACTGGACTCCCAGCAGCATAGAGGAAATCGGTAATTATCCCCATCTATTTGAATTTCTGGTCCAAATTTTTATATTCCTAAGTATTCAAAACCGACCCCCAGCATAGCCTGGTGGCTTTCTGTTCCTATAAGCTGGTGTCACAAAATGGAGGGCAACCAGGCTCAGCACTGCTGCCTTCTCTCTCAGTTGCTCACCACCAACTGGGAATACAATTTAAATGGGTCCTCTACAAAATAAAAAATTATCCCCAGAACCATGAATGAACATGTCTCCCTTTCTCTGTTCTAATTTTAGTCATTCTTAGTGGCTTTTAAAACTGTCATGTTTCCAAATAACTCAATAGGCCGGGATTATAGAGATGGAGTCAGTAATAACATAACTGTTTAGAAAGCAGTAAAAAAGGAAGGAAAAAATGGCATGAGTAATAACAATAAAAATGAACCATGTCAGAAAATGCATCCGGGGAGTTGTGACATGAGAAATCCCTTGAGAGCAGAGACCATTGGGAATAAAGGATTAGAATTTTCCCCTGAAAGAAGCGTGTAAATTTGATCCACACCTGGTCCTAGCCTATGACACTGCTTCTTCTGGCCATGGGAGCTCTTCCCTGCACTGAGGAGTTTTCCTTGCCCTCCAAGGCTTACCTTGCTCCGGAGCTCATCGATGGTCTTGTAATAAGTGCTGTAGTCCCGCTCAGGGCTGGTGGGGCTCTGTTTCTGGTGCCAGTCACGAATCTTCACCTCCAGGTCAGCGTTGGCCTCCTCCAGAGCGCGCACCTTGTCCAGGTAGGAAGCCAGGCGGTCGTTGAGGTTCTGCATGGTGATCTTCTCATTGCCAGAGAGGAGGCCACCATCGCCACCACTGAAGTCACCAAAACCACCACCGAAACCAAAACCTCCACCAAAGCCACCTCCAAAGCCACCTCCAAAGCCACTACCAGCCCCTCCACCAAAGCCACAGCTCATGCCGGCCCCATAGCCCCCAGCTGATCCCCCAGACACAAAACGGGTTGAACAGGTAGAGATACTGCGACCTCCTCCCAGCTTGCAAGAGCCACCTCCGAAGCCACCTCCATAGCTGGCGGAAGAACTCTGCAGGCGACAGCTCATGGTGAGAGGAAGGTTGAGAGCAGGTGCAGACACAAGTGTAGCTTGGCCTGGGCCGAGGACTGTGGTTCTTCCTCAGAGCAGGTACCTTTTATACACCTTCCACAGGGGCTGGACATCTTCCCTCCTCCCCTCCCCACCCTCTGACTTGGTGCCAACTGCACTTCTGTTTCCCACAAGCCCAGTTAGCTACACTCTCCAGGGTGGGTTGTGCCTTTTGGGGGTGGCTTTTCTTAAATCCTTAACAAAAGGGATGATTCAGAGCTAACAGTGTTCTACATAAGACTACCCTTTTGACAGCTGAATCCTCATTCACCTCTCTACTTAAGGAGCTCACTTCTGCAAACTCTCAGCCCCGCCCAGTATGAGAATGGGGCTGAACCATGAAGATCTGCCAGGGACTCTGCCAAGAAAGGGTGCTTTGGGGAGGGGGGCGTCACTGCAGCCATCAGCCTCCCTTCTTTCCATCTTGCAAACTCCTAACTGGAATGTTCCTCATCTTTCTTAGCATTTTGTCTACTCCAGAGCTCCCAACGACACTGATGACAAACTTTGCTTGGTCTTGTAGAATCAACTGCCTTGCAAGTATTATATTGAGGCTAAAAGAAATAGATCCAAGACCATCAGAAGTCACAGTGACAAGGACCTTACAGGACCTTAAGAACCATAGAACACAACAGAAGAAACTGAGGCACAGGAAGAGGAAGCAACCCTGGGCATTATAACTAATAGTCTCAGAGCCCTTACCATATGCTGGCATGAGCCTAAGTACTGTACACCTGCTATCTCGTTTCATCTTTATGGCAGCCTAGTGAGGTGGGTCTGACTTATCCCCATTTCACACATGAGGGAAACGAGCCTTATAGGTAGATACAAATCCAGTTATGTCCAATACTAAGGCTTTTTTTTCTTTTTTGCTACACACTGTATGCATTCACCAGAGAGATGGAAAGTGATAAATCAGCCCCCCAGACACAACCAAGGGGGATGATCATGCCACAATCCCTTCTCCTCCATTCTCTTCTTGAGATTTTGGGCACACATGGACATGCACCCAGTGTATTTTTCAAGCTTCCAGGTTCATAACTCAAACTGTGTAGTTGGCCATGTAGGATCCAGCTGCCTTAACCTCCACACCATCTGCTGGCCCACTAAGGCTCATTTTTTGGTTATATTTTTCATAAGTATAAGTCCCAAGTGTCCAGCCTGATGCACTTTTACATACATATGACCTGTGTGACCCCACCCAGAACATTTCCAGCCCTCCAAAAGGCCCTTGTACCTTTGCCCATTATCCCACCTGCTTCGTTGATCTAACCAATCCATCCAGTTCTGTCACCATAGATCAATTTGGAGGTTCTGAGCCAGGGGCTACATTGCTTTGCATAGAGTACTTGACAATGTATGGAGACATTATGATTGTCACAACTGGGGGATGCTACTGGTTTCTAGGGGATGGAGACCAGGGAGGTTGCCAACATATCCTACAATGCACAGGACAGCCTGCTCAACAAAGCACTATAGGTCAGAAGGCCATAGTATCAAGGCTAAGAAGCCCTGGATCAGTCTGACCATGGATAGTCCCTCCACTATTCTAACTACTTTAGACACACAGCCAAGGTCCCTGGTGCGAGCAGGGCCTGTCTAATTAATGCCCTAACCACACGACATGTCAGCTCAAGAGTTTTTGACTGAGAAGCCACGGCAGAGGCTGTGGTCCAGGGTTTGGGGCCAAGATCTCTGCTAAGGGTCCTGGAATGTGGCTGAGAAACTCGGGGACTATGCAGTGACCCTACTAGAGGAGGTTTATCCTTTCAAACTGGCAGATAGGCCTTGAGGTTGCTTCTCAAACACCAGGCCACAAGAAAACATTTCCAGGGCTGAGTATGGAGGGTCCTGGCCCCAGGAACCCAGCTCACACTTGCCAGGTGGCTGTGGATAAACTCTAAGGAGCAGCTTGCAGCCACAAGGGTCTGGGTGGTATCAGGCCAGGGGCTGGGCTGAGGTGGCACAGGCAGAAGGTTGTCCTGGAACCCCCTTCGCTGATTCAGCAAGGCCAGAAAGGAGAGCTCTGAGTCAGGGCTGTCTCTGCCTTTGTGTTCTGGGGTAAGAAAATGGCCCATGTTCCACCCCAGGGTTCAGCACCGAGGAGACCCAGGGCGTGCTGCAGGCACTCAAACACCACTATGAGGCCGATTCAGGCTGACCCCTGACCCTGCCCAGCCCTTCTGCCCCAAACTGATGGCTCAGCTCTCTCTCTGAAAAGACATGATTCAGCCCAAAGCAGGCACTCTGGATCTCGATGGAGGATCAAATCTGACAGGAAGGTGATTAATGGAACCTGCCAGGACTGTGGTGACAATGCCCCAATCCTGGCTGACAAGCAGGTTGGGCCAACGCCTCTTAGAGTAACAATGTAGCAGATCCTCCAAACACAGTGACCATGACATGCCTCCCCTGGCAGGGGCAGGGCACAGCCCCTCCCTCCTGAGCAGGAACTTGCAATACCTGGACACAAATGCCTTCCTCTGACCCTGTGAACTCCAGGGCCCACAGAGCTGGGTGACATGTACAGGCCCCCCTGTAGGACCCCAAGCAGCCACCCATTAGAGGGGCTCAGAGTCCCCTCTCCTCACCCCAGTCCTAATGGAGACAGGACAGAGGGCTGGGCCTGAGGCATTTCCAGCTTGTCTTAAGCTTCTTGTTTTGCATTTTTTGGCAAAATAACACCAAATTCAGGACCCTCCCCAGTAACATTTCAAAGAAAGGAGAGAGACCCCTGTTCTGTGAACACCCCCTACAAACAAGGCTGTGCTTCACTCACAACAACGGAAAAAGTCTTATATTCCCCCATTTTAGGGACAAGGCAGCTGAGGGTCAGAGGGGGAAAGTTACTTGCCACAGGCCACGTGAAGATGAGCTTGATACCTGGCCTCTGCCTCTCTCTACCTCACTGTTGGTGTCTTGGCAGCCTTGCTGTGATCTCATATGCATGATCTCTAGTGCTCCATTCTGTGACGTCATTACTTATAATAAAAGTATATAGTTTGGAGTCTCTATCCTGGGTTCTCAGAACAGAGTTCCTAAGACCCTTATAATCTCCTGAGCAAAAAGGGTACTAGGAGCATCTTTTATTCTAATACTTCGTCTTTGGCTGCAATTTCTAACACACAGCTCCCAACCCCTTGGAACTTCTGGTGATAAGAAAGTCTTTTGTTCCTATGAAGTGACTCTTGGTGGACTTCTGAATGGGAGCTAGTCACCAAAAGGCCTTCAGGAACCTCCAGTCCTCCAAGAAGGGGACAGGAACTGGAGACTGAGTTAATAATCAGTTATGCTGGGACCAGCGGATGGCATAATGGTTGCATTGTTGGACTCCCATGTAGTCAACTGCAGTTTGAGTCCTTGACCACTGATAGCCTAGGTTCTGTGAGTTGCTCTACCACATTATCAAGTCCAAGAGAAAGGTCATGGGGACCTGTGATTTGTAGCCAAGTTAGACAGAAGTTGTGGGCAACCTGGGGACCTACTACTTGTGCTCGGCATCTGAAGTGGGAAGCAGTCTTGTGGTACTGAGCCCCTAACCTGTGAGGTCTATGCTAACTCTAGTTAGTCTCAAAATTAAATAGACTTGGGCTGGCTCTGTGGCACAGTGGTAATGCATTGTTCAAGGGAAGTTGGATGGTGACCCCATAGAGACCAAGGTTCAAATTCCTGACCTAGTTAGCCTAGGTATATATGCAAGTGCCCAAAATCCCATAGGCTGGAGAACTAGAGGAAGGAGATCTTGGGGTGACCAGACCTAATGAAGTGTGTTCCTACCTCTCTCTCTTGAATAAATAATGAATAAAAAGGGGAAGAAACATTTTAAAAATAAAATAAAATTGAATTGACTTGTAGAACACACAGCTAGGGTCAGAGAATTGCTTAATGTGGGAAAAACCCACACATCTGGTCATAAAAATGTTCTGTACTGAGTGTGAGGATAGATATAATGGAAAAGCAGTTTGTTTTCCCTATATTCACATTCTACATATGTTCAAAGACAACAAAAATAAACTAGCTAATACTTATGGAAGACTGTGTTAAACACTCTACGTGCATGGTCTTACTGTGTCCTCAAAATAATCTCTACCCCTTTTATCACACCCTCTTTTCAGATGAGACCGGAAAGGTTAAACTCAAAAGTACAATTGTGCTTATGGAAAACCCTTTCAGGCCCAAGCTGGCATCATCCCCATCCAGGCAAGAGCATCTCTTCGCTTTTCCTTTCTCAGGCCTCTCATCACCCCAGGCTGGGCCAGGGGTGGTCCTGCTTCCCACAATGCCTAGGCCTGTGTAGCTGATGACCTTCAGACCAGTCTGTCTGCTGTCTGTCCCTGGTCTGAGCCTCAAAACTCATGTGGGTCTTGGGACCAGCAGTTAGCATAATGGCTATGTAGCTGGACTCCCACGTAGTCGACTACAGTTTGCATCCTGGACCCGGTGGCTTAAAACTCACACTGGGCGTGTGTGCGCACGTGCCCAAGATCTCGAGAGGAGGATGGAGGAGAAGGGATTGCGGCACGGCCATCCCCCTTGGCGGGGTTGGGGGAGGGGTGATTTCTCGCTTTCTGTCTCTCTTTCTCTCTCTGTCTGTCTGGCGAGCGCACGCGCCGTATAGCAAAACTCACGTGAGTCTTGCATGGAAATGCTTTCTAAGTTCCTTCCCACAAGTTGTCTTTCTGAGTCTCTGGTTCTCAAGAATTCATCCATGAGTACCAGATAGTCTACTGAAGACCTAAGACTTAAGCCCTGTCCCCAGGGTCTGGTGCAGACCTCCTGGCTCCCTGCCTCCAAGAAGGTGCCCATAACCCAAGATGGCTGACCCACCTCCCAAGGGCCTCCAGGCTCCCCAACAGGGTAGGGGCCTCTCCTGAAAGGCTTGGTACTGCACTACTCAGAAATCTGACCAGACTGGCCTGAATGTGTAAGACCTCGCATTTCTACAGTGCTCAGCTCTCTAACTCCCCTGTACATCATCCAGGCCTCCCAGAAACCCAACGAGACCAGAAAAGGCTTAGGAGGAGCTGGCCCTGAGTGTCAGTCTTCCATCTGTCCCTTACTAGCTGTGTGACCTTGGAAATTTTACTCCACTTTTCAGTGCCTCAATAGCCAACACTGAAAACAGCCATTAGATGAGTTAGTATTCAAGGCACCCGGTGGGCGGAAGCTTGTTGATACTTCCCTTTGACGAATGAGGAAATGCAAGTTGGTCATTGTCAAATGACCTGTCCAAGAATTCCTCTGAGCCTCACCCCAGTTTTGCCTCCCTTCTCTCTGGTCCCTGCATCAACAGCAATCAGTGAATGGCCTTTGGTGGCATTTTATTTATTTCTCCCACTCCATCTTGGATTCTCTAAGGACAGGATCTTTGTTGACTATATCTCCAAATACTGTGCCTAATATAGGAAGCCCTTGATCCGTGGCTGAGAAGTTGTTTGGGGATGCTTTGTCTGCTGGCTCTAGGTGAAAAGGCACAGCAAACAGGAGTGGCATTCAGCTGGGTCAGCTCTGCTCCAAGGCTTCCAGTTCTTAATATCCCCCTGTGCTGCCAGCTGCCCATGGGAGGACGGGAGGCCACCAGGTGGACACACACCAAAGATACTAATGCATATCCAGAGCCATATCTAAGACACGAAAAAGCAAAAGACAGGCAAATTCATGCACTAACTCAAAAAATACTTATTTAGCACTTATGTAGCAGGATGCACTGAGGATTCAGCCTGCAGTGAATAGAGTGAACATAAATTCCTGGTGTCACTGATCTTGCAGTCCAGGTTCTCCTCTGAGATCCCAGAATACAGAATTCACAGAGACTTCTGTGATCATCTCGTCCAGCCAGACTCCTCCATTCACAGAGGAGAAACTGAGATGCAGAGAGGAGCAGGGACCAGCCACAGTCCTTGGAGAAAGAGTGGCAGGCATGCCCCATGCCAGGAAGCCCAACCCAAGCAGAGAACACACCCAAAGACCTAATCTCTAATCCCAAAGCCACCCTCTCCTTGTGGGGAGAAGGGAGGGAGCATTGCCTGCTGCCTGCTTTCTGATTGGCTGGAAACCAATCCTGACCTCAGCCTAGGGCAGGCAGTAGGTGTGCCATTTCTGCCCAGAAGCTATTTAAGGGCTCAACCAAGGACAAGCCACCCCTGGAACCGGACATTCAGCTGCAGGGTCGGGCTGGTGACAGGATTTGGCAACTTCCAAGGACTTGTCTGACAGCCCCTCACGGTACCCTAGGAGAGCAAAGATAGGCGCTCTAAGGAGACAGAGCAGCTGCCCTCCTACCTCGTCTCAGGGCCTGGGCCCAGCGGTGGGCTGAGCCCCACCTTGCCTCTCTGCACCTTTTTGCAGAGTTATAATTTTTGAAAACTAAGGCTAAGAAAACCCTTTACCAACTGCTTAGAAGGCCTGAGACCTCTCAACAGAGGTCTGGAGGCCAATGAGGCAGAAGCAACAGCCAGGTCACCACCTTCTACTGCCAGCATCCAAAAGGGGCCTGAGAAAGAGCCTGGCTGCTCCCAGGACACAGGAGACTTGGCAGCTGATCCTCTGGACTTCAGAATGAGCTTAAACCACAGACTAAGGTTAGATGTAAGGACAATCTTTCTGACAGTAGTGGCTGTATGACATTTGAGGCTAAGAAACAAGATGCACTGTAATGCTGGAAGCCATGTGGGAGGCCCAGGGTTTGGATCCCAGGGCCATCTGAACATGCTTGGGTGACTGGAGAGATGGGGAGCAGGGGAGCAGAGGATTACAACAAAGCAAGATCCTGCGAAAGCTACATGCTCGCGCTCTCTCGCTCTCTCGCTCTCTCTCTCTCTCTCTCTCTTCCTCATAAAAGAAAGGAAGGGGGAGAGAGAGAGAGAAAGAAAGGAGTTTGATTTTTTTTTTAAGTAAGAAATGAGTTTCAGATTAGCACATCCTCTTTTTAAAAACTTAAATAAATAAATAAAATGCGTTGCCGCTTCCGTCACTGCATGATGTCAATGGAAAAGCAGCAGCTGGGGATGAACAAAATGGAGCCCAGACTCAGTCTTACTGTTGCCTGGCTTGTGGCCTCATTCCAGCTGCTTAACTTCCCCAGGAAGTCATGTCCCATTTTCTCTTCTGAAACTGATGCTGAAGCTTGACCCTAACTCCACAGAGTTGTTGGCAGAGTTAAAAAGATGCCAGTCTAGAGTGCCCTGCCAGGGCCTGGCCTATCGTAGACCCAATTCATTTCATTTCCTTCCTCCAGGAGGTCCAGCCTCAAAGTGTATTCTCAAGAGACATATTCTCATTCAATCTTTCCCAGAAAGTGTAGACACCACTTTCACGCCAACCAAGGTTTGAGGGAAAGGGGCTTCACCCAGAAAACACCTGGGACCCTCTTGGAGGGTGTGGCTACCCTCCTATAAGAACAGATTTTCCAAAGCATGAGAGGCGCAGCTGCTCATCCTAGAAGGACAAAGAAACCGGTTCTCCTCCATCCCCAAAGCCTTACCCCAGGCTTAAGCCGGCCCAGCTGCAGCACCCAGAGTCTGAGATCCAGAGTTTAGAGAAATTAGCCCCAGACCAGAGGCAACAAATAATGAATTTCTTTTGGGAGGATATGAGGCTCCAGCTTTGCAAGGACACAGAGATGGGAATGGTGTCAGCCATTCTGGTGGTCAGGTGTGCCTTGCTAGAAAGGAAGGGAATGGGAGCAGCAGATGGCGTAATGGTTATGTTGCTAGACTCCCACATGGGTGACCGCGGTTCAAGTCCTGGACCCAGTGGCATGTGCGTGCATGCCCAAAATTCCAAGAGGAGAATGAAGGAGAAGGGATTGCAGCATGGCTATCCTCCCAGGGAGTGATTTCTCCTTTCTGTCTCTCTGTCTCTCCAGTAAGTGCATGTACCCTATAGCAAAAATCTTTCTAAAAGAAAAAGGAGGGTATTTGAACAGCACATTGGAGAGAACAGTAGCAAGGAGGAGGAGCCTGGCAGTGACAGTGAAGGGCCAGGGCCTAGGGTCTCAAGACAGGCTCTGGTCTTGGAGTCACACAGATGGGGGGCCCAGTTCCAGCCCTGCCGCCTACTATCAGTCCATGAGGCCACTGAGTAGATGATTCATTTCTGAGTTTGGTGTCCTCACCTCTACAATGAGACTAATAAATCCTGACCACCCTCAGCTGTGAGTTCTAGAGAGACACAGGGAAGAGTGTGCCTGGCCCAGGGCCAGCCAGTGGCAAATCCATAGAATCAGTGTAATCATCACTCGGTAAATGGTTCGATGTGTCAAGTTTCATGCAGGGTGCACCAGCCTGCTCCAAGGGAACCTCCCATCCTCGTTTCTGGTCACCCCATGGGGTAAGCCAGAAGAAGAGCTAGCTCTGAGTTTGTCTTAGGTGCCTGCACCTTGAGTACCTTAAAGAATGAATTATAACTATGAGGGAAGAGGACAAGTGGGGGAGATGTCAGCATGTGGACCCTGGGACTCCTTGGAGAGGTCAGGGGCCAACTTAAACCACCTGAAGAAAAACTGGACATTCCGAGAGATATTTGCAAAAGGAAAAGCAATTCTTTATTGTGTGAACAAACATGGTACAAACAAGCATGTGACATGAGACAGCAGGGGAGGAGTGGTAGAGCTGAGGGGAAGAAAGCATTGCAGAGATGGGCCCTCTCCAGCTGGGGCTCGAAAGGCAGGGACTGGACTTTGTGTTTCTGCCCCGCCCCCACACACCCCAGCCAGTCCTCTGCTCAGCCTTGATATGGTGGAGGTGGTGAGGGACGTTTCTCCGGTGCTGGGCACTTAGATTTCTCTCTTACGGGAAGAAACCACTTTCCCATCCACAGACTCCTCAACATTAATGCGTAAAGTGCTGCTGCTGCTGCTGCTGCCGCCACTGCCACCACCTCCCAGAGAGGCTGCAGGAGGAACAAGAAGGAATAAGCTCTAGGGTGGAATTTCCTCCCTGCTCTCCCTCCCAAGGGAGCCAGAATTTACTGGGCTCTGGGAAAACTGGATGGTGCCCTTGAGAATGACCTCTGGCCAGTTCCTTGGGGGCTGCTGGGAGGTCTGATGTTGAATTCCTCATCAAAGAGATGGATCTGCCCGGTGGTGAGCAACAGCAGGGTTTTTAGGCTGCATGTGACAGGGAATCACCATGGGTGTGTGAAATAGGGTCTGGGGAAGAGACGGGGCTTAGACAAAGCCTGCTCAGCCTGGAAAATTCTCAATAAGTGTCCAACTCCAACCCTGTCTGGCTTCCATAAAGGGTTTGCTGGGGAAGAGGCATGGACTGGAACGGGAGTGACCAGGCCCAACTGGAGTGATTGGTCTCTTTCTTCTTCCTCCCCATTCAAGGGGGGTGTGGTTTCCATAGCTCCCCTCCCCACCCACTCCAGAAGAATTACACTTCCTACCTTCCCTGAAGCCAATGGCAGCCATCCTGAAAGAGAGGGGTAGGCAGATGTAAGCAAAGGGCAAAAGCTCAAGCCTCCCTAAGGGAGCGCATGTGCAAGGCTTAACAGTCCATTCCAGCCCCCACACCATAACTGACTCCTCTAGGGGCTGGGACATCTGATGGCCCCTCCAGGCCTGCCACTTCCAAGTCAATGGGTTCTGGTCTACAGTAGCACCCCACCTACTTCCTACAAAGACTGAAAATCATTAAAGCTCAGAGACCACTAGCCCCAACTCTATCATTCACGAAGAGACGGAGGTCCAGATTGGGGAAGTGACCTGCTCAAGAGAACACCAAAGACCAGAGCATGGAGTACAGATATCTTACTCCTTGCTCGGTTCTCTTTCACTTCACCACACAGCCGCTTAGGAACACCTTGCTCTCCCCTCAAGATGACCCTGCATCCCAGCCACAACCAGCCTCGCCCATCCCACTCCTGTGTCCGTGCACCTACTTGGCGTCCTGGCCCTCCAGCAGGCTGCGGTAGGTGGCGATCTCCTGCTCCAGCCGCGTCTTGATGTCCAGCAGCATCTTATACTCCTGGTTCTGAGCCTCCATCTCACATCGGAGCTCGCTCAGCTGCGCCTCGATGCTGCTGATGAGCCCCTGGATCTGCTGTAGCTGCGTGGCGTAGCGGCACTCTGTCTCTGCCAGCGAGTTCTCCAGCCCAGCTTTCTGAGGGGATGACAGATACACATCAAGCTAGAAAGGAACTCACTAAGGGCCAGGGGGTAGTGGAATGGAGTCGAATGAAGTCCCTCCAAGGAGGTTTATGAACACCAAGGCTTAACCTGGCATGGGTGGTGGGGCATCCATCACCTGAGAGGCCAGGTGGGATACAGTGGTCCTACCATGCTGAGCTGAGACTGCAGCTCTATCTCCAGCTCCTGCATTGTGCGTCTCAGTTCTGTGATCTCTGTCTTGCTGGTCTGGATCATTTCTGTGTTGGAGGCCACCTCCTTGTTGAGCTCCTCAGTCTGTAGGTCACACACAAGAGAAGTGAGCCCCATGGGCCTCCTCAGAGATGCAGAAAGCAGGGACAGGGCAGAGCAGGGCAGGGCTGGGAGGTCAGGCCCACCTTGCTGAAGAACCAGGCCTCAGCCTCCCGGCGGTTCTTCTCAGCAATGGCCTCATACTGCTCCCTCATCTCCGCCAGCACACGAGTCAGATCCACCCCAGGTGCTGCATCCATCTCCACGTTGACCTGGCCGGCCAGCTGGTTGCTAAACTCCTTCATCTCCTGCAGGGTAGGAGGAGCCCATTGAGAGATGGAGGGCAACAGAGAGAGCAGAGAGTCCAGGCTCCCACACATCAGTCCTAGCTCTGTCCCTAACTCATGCTGCAACCTTGGCACACTACCCCACCTGATCTCTGGTCCCCATTGCACATGAAAAGGTTTGATAACATAGGCCCCTCAGTTCTGAGGGTGTCTCTTCCACTCTAAGTCCCACCAGGGGAGGACTTGAGACAGAAGGCCCTTGTGTGAGCTAACAAACCAAATCAGGAAGATGGTACTTCACACTTGTAGCTGTGTGTCTGGGTCACCAGAAGAGAGGGTCCCTTCCTCCCCGTGGAGATTCCTGGTTTTGGTGGAAGTGCATTTCTGAAGTGCAAAGCCCTCAACCGACTCAAGGAAGCACCAGCAGTGCCACTCTGGCTCCCAGCGACCCCAGCTACTGCCCGGCTCTCACCTCCTCATGGTTCTTCTTCAGGTAGGCCAGGTCTTCATTCAGGCTCTCGATCTGCATCTCCAGGTCGGTCTTGGCCAAGGTCAGTTCGTCCAGCACCCTGCGCAGGCCGTTGATGTCGGCCTCCACACTCTGGCGCATGGCCAGCTCGTTCTCATACCTGGGAAGAAAGAGGAAGCCCAAAGTAAGGAAGGGTAAGGGGTCTGGGCTGCCCAAGTCAGAGGAAGAGGAAGGCCAAGCAAAGTGGGCAACATAGGAAGGGGAGAAGGGGCGAAGGGGCAGGAGCGCACTTGAGCCTGAAGTCATCTGCAGCCAGCCTGGCGTTGTCAATCTCCAGGATGACCCGAGAGTTGTCGATGGCGGCAGCCAGGATCTGCGGGAAACAGAAAGTTGGTGCCTGGAGGACGTCTTCTCTTCCCTGCTGCTCTCTGGCGCTGTGCCCACAGTCACATCCCTCACTAACAATCTCCCTCTGACACTGACAACCACAGCCCTACAGGGCAGAGTCCAGCTTCTTCTTGAGAGCCCATTACTTGATCTGCCCTCACCACCTACCCTCCCTGTCTCCAGTGCCTGGAAAACCAGTAGGCACATTGCCTGGAGTCCCCTGTGGGAGTTGGTTAGGGGGACGGACTGGTATCCTCAGGTTCTGACAATAGCGCTCTCAGGATACTCAACTGCTCTCCGCCCAGGACAGCCCAGGATCACTGCCTCAGGCAGAACATCCCAGCCAGTGGGGACCTGGAGAGTAGCTAGAGAAGGCATTTACAGATGAGGAAACCAGTCCCAGAGACGGCGGGTGTGTGAGCGGGCTGCAGAGCCAGTAAGGAGTTCGCAGGTCTCCTAAGTGCCAGTGGTGCTCTGGGCACTAAAGACATCCTTAAAGGGGGAGGTGAGAGGTCCGGTATTTAGGGCTTGTGAGGCTATACTCCAACACCATTTTTGCCTAAGAGGTAAGAGAACACTTCACACAGGTCTTGCAAGATGTTTGGGGTGAGGAGCTGCTCTTTAAAACTGCCCCCACCTGTGTCCCCGTTAGTCCTAACCAGATTCCCAAGACCCCTCTCTTTCCCAGAACTGCCAAATTGGGCAGATACGTGTCAACATCCGCACCTGGAAAGCATCCCAAGTTTGTGGAGGTTACACAGCAGAGAGTCACTGCCTGGGCAGGAAAGGATTTCCTTGAGTCAGCGGTAACACCGCTGTTAGAGACACACGCAGGACACCAGCCACCTGCTCCCCTTTCTTAGGCATCTGAGAACTTACCTTGTCCCGGAGCTCACTGATGATCTTGAAGTAAGGGCTGTAGTCTCGCTCCGGGCTGGTGGGACTCTGCTTCTGGTACCACTCGCGAATCTTCACCTCCAGGTCAGCGTTGGCCTCCTCCAGGGCGCGCACCTTGTCCAGGTAGGAGGCCAGGCGGTCGTTGAGGTTCTGCATGGTGATCTTCTCATTGCCAGAGAGGAGACCACCATCGCCACCACCAAAGTCGCCAAAACCTCCACCAAAGCCACCACCGAAAGCTCCACCAAAGCCACCTCCAAAGCCACCTCCAAAGCCACTACCAACCCCTCCACCAAAGCCACAGCTCATGCCACCTCCATAACCTCCTCCTGATCCTGAAGAGACAAACCTAGCAGAAGAAGCCGAGATACTACGGCTTCCGCCCCCTCCAGAGAGACGCCCCACACCACATCTGCAGCCAGCCTGGCATTGTCAATCTCCAGGATAACCCGGTTGTTGTCAATGGTGGCTGCCAGGATCTGCAAAATACAGGAGAAAAAGGTATAGAGGGTCCTTGCGCTTGGGAGGAGAACTGAAAACACAGGGGCAGGACCGGGTTCTCATCAGACACCGCATCCTAAGTGTCCCATGAGCTGGGACAAAGAGGCACTGCTCTCTGGGTCTTGGTTCCTCTTCTATAAATGGAGGGTAGAACCAGGTCCTCTCAATCTGTCCTGTACCTCTAGCCTTCCCTGTCTGCGCATGATGGAGAAGATCTGGGATGTGCATTTCAGGGGACAATCCTGCTGAGAAACTCCTTGGGTACCTATGCCTCAGCAGCCAGAGAACAGCCACTTCTCCAGGCAGCTGTCTCGAGAGTCTTCTCCTTATAGTCAGTAAAGCTGTATCTCCCCATATTCTATGGTAACTTCAAGGAACTGGACTCCCAGCAGCATAGAGGAAATCGGTAATTATCCCCATCTATTTGAATTTCTGGTCCAAATTTTTATATTCCTAAGTATTCAAAACCGACCCCCAGCATAGCCTGGTGGCTTTCTGTTCCTATAAGCTGGTGTCACAAAATGGAGGGCAACCAGGCTCAGCACTGCTGCCTTCTCTCTCAGTTGCTCACCACCAACTGGGAATACAATTTAAATGGGTCCTCTACAAAATAAAAAATTATCCCCAGAACCATGAATGAACATGTCTCCCTTTCTCTGTTCTAATTTTAGTCATTCTTAGTGGCTTTTAAAACTGTCATGTTTCCAAATAACTCAATAGGCCGGGATTATAGAGATGGAGTCAGTAATAACATAACTGTTTAGAAAGCAGTAAAAAAGGAAGGAAAAAATGGCATGAGTAATAACAATAAAAATGAACCATGTCAGAAAATGCATCCGGGGAGTTGTGACATGAGAAATCCCTTGAGAGCAGAGACCATTGGGAATAAAGGATTAGAATTTTCCCCTGAAAGAAGCGTGTAAATTTGATCCACACCTGGTCCTAGCCTATGACACTGCTTCTTCTGGCCATGGGAGCTCTTCCCTGCACTGAGGAGTTTTCCTTGCCCTCCAAGGCTTACCTTGCTCCGGAGCTCATCGATGGTCTTGTAATAAGTGCTGTAGTCCCGCTCAGGGCTGGTGGGGCTCTGTTTCTGGTGCCAGTCACGAATCTTCACCTCCAGGTCAGCGTTGGCCTCCTCCAGGGCGCGCACCTTGTCCAGGTAGGAGGCCAGGCGGTCGTTGAGGTTCTGCATGGTGATCTTCTCATTGCCAGAGAGGAGACCACCATCGCCACCACCAAAGTCGCCAAAACCTCCACCAAAGCCACCACCGAAAGCTCCACCAAAGCCACCTCCAAAGCCACCTCCAAAGCCACTACCAACCCCTCCACCAAAGCCACAGCTCATGCCACCTCCATAACCTCCTCCTGATCCTGAAGAGACAAACCTAGCAGAAGAAGCCGAGATACTACGGCTTCCGCCTCCTCCAGAGAGACTCCCCACACCAAAGCCTCCTCCTCCAGCCCGGAAGGAGCCCCCTCGGGTAGAGCTGCCCCCAAAGGCAGTGGACGAAGTGTGCAGCAATGTGGTGGCCATTGTCAGGCAGCTGGTGCCAGTGAGTTCTCGGCAAGCAAGAGAGTTGCCCCCGCAGAGCTGCCGAGCTGGGCTGAAACCACAGTGTAGCGCCTGTTATCCCAGCCTGGGGCTCCTTATATACCCTTTAGAGGAGTTGTGGGACCTCGTCTCCTCCCCTAAAATGAAGCCAACTCCTCTGCCTCCTGACAAACACAGCTGCCTGCACACCTCCACCACTAGTGTGGAGTTTTCTCTCTCTTTTTTTTTTAATGCAACAAAAGAGATGATTCAGAATGAATAGTGTTTTGCCTTGGGCCATGTTTTTAACACTTGGGTTGCAAGTTCCTCTCTCCACTGCAGGAGAGAAGAGCAAGCAAGAGGGAGCAAACTCAGCACAACACAGGTCCCAAGACCTCCAGCTGGTGTTAGAACAGCCTAGACCACCTGTGCCCTCCCCCCCACCACCACCAGGCACCTCCTTGTAGCTAGACACCTTCCAGTCCCAGTTCGGGAGTCCGCTTCCCAATTGCTGCTCTGTGTTCTCCCACCCAAAGATCTTGTGCTTGGGGAAAGTGGAGGCCTCTGTCAATGGGTCCAGGCACACGGGGGCAGGCCGAGGACAGGAGAGAGGGTTTTCAGTCAGGTTGCCACTGAGGTGGCCAAGGGGCCAGCGTTTGCCCCTTCCCTGGTGTTGCAAATTGTCTCCTTCTCTCCCCTCTACTTCCCTCCTGCACCAGAGTTCCCTCTTGCTCCTCCAGCTCCCCCAGCCTTCAGCCCATGGCCCTGGCACTCTCACAAAAGCCTGCAGGCTCCAGGCTGACAAGGGACTGATTGATAATCCCACCACCTGCCAGCTGTCACTGAACTTTTGCTTGTTCCTGGGACACGTTGAGGCAAACCTCTGCAGATAAGGCTGGGGCAAGTTCCAGGAAGCCCCTGCCTTCACCAGGGAGAGACAAGTTGCTGCTTAGCAGGGCTAGATTAACCCCTGTTTGTCCTGTTGAACCCCTCGGGACTGGGGAGTGGCCAAGCCAGAAGGCCCTACATGCCTGAGTGGTATGAGAGGGAGGAGACAGGGAGGGCTGGCGTGCAATATGGAGGGCCAAGGCATCACTTTGCATAGAAAGATTCTAAGCCCAGAGAGGTGAGTCGAACACTCAGGAGAACCCTTTCCAATGCCCACTAGCTCAGGGGTCCTGCTTTGCAGGGACACTCAACAGCTGTGGGCAATGCCACTTGGAGATGTGGCCTGGCCCTCTGGCCATGGCTCCAGAGCTTCCAGAGAACTCAAGTGTTGAGAGGTGAGCAAGACCGAGCTGGAGAAGCAGCAGGAGATTCCAGGCCCAGGGCTGCAGAGCAGTGAGACTGATAGGACTCTGGAGTCCCTCGAACCTGGGTTCAAATTCTGGCTCTATCAATTACACTTGTGAGACCTTAGACATGTTTCTTTGTAGGTCTCTTTCCTTGTGGCAAGGGACATACTCAGCTCTCATTTCCAAGGAAGCCCTAAGGCCCAAAAGCCCCATTCTGCCTCCTCATGGTTCCCCATCTTCCGAGGAGCCAGGTGGTAGGCTGCATGTTCCGTATCTGGGACTTCTGAGTATCCTCACCAGGAGAGACTTTGCCCATGGGCATCAGCACAGGGCCTGTGAGCCTTAGTGCATTCTGAAGCTTAGCAGTGCATTCCTTCATAGCCAGTGCCTACTGGGCAATACAGGTGTTCTTATTTTCACTAGAATAACAAAACAATAATCCTGTACTTCCACCACATTCTTCACAATTTACAAAACGCTTTTGTACCCCCCTCCTCTAATCCTCTCAACTCTGAGGATGACTCCTGAAATTGACACTCAGAGCAGCAAAGTGATTTCTGCAAGGTGGCACAGCTAGTAGAAGAGGCGTCGTCAGGTCTCAGACAGGTCTTCAGACTCCCTCTCAGACAGGGGACGGAAAGAAAGGGTCCCTGCCACAGACCCAGAACTCCCACATCTGAGCTGAGTAGAAGGGAAGAGAACAGTGGCCAGGCCTGAATAGGGATGGGTTCCTCCTCCCCAGCTTTGCCAGGAGCTAGGCCTCTGGGTGCTAGCCCCAGACAGAGTACATATATTACTATTGCCTCATACTTGGGAAGATATTGTCTTTTCCTCTGAAAGAAAAATAATCAAACTCAGATCAGCCAGAGCTCATTAAATCCTCTGCAGACAATGGGGCCCCAGCAATTAATGCAGGAACAATTACTGGCTTGTCACCCCAGAGTGAGGGAGGAGTGAACCCCACTCGGCTCCCTGACTTCCTCCACTCACATCCCCACCCAAAATGGATTTTCCCCTCAGGCCCAGGCCAGAGACAGCACCTGCTACCTGGCTGCCCCACATGCAAATCCCTGGTTTTAGTCTAAGAGCTACTGAGCTCAAGGTCTGGGCAGGGCCAAGGACCTCCTCATTAGCACAGGCAGAATGGCCTTTGCAGGATAGAGCTTGGTTTGGTCCCAGTCCCGGCTGCAGCCTTGCCCCAGGCTGTCCCAAGGCAGCCTGTCCAGGTTGCTGTGCCAGTTTCTGTCTTTTGCCGACTGTAGCCAGACAGACTGTCCCTGGAGCCAGGCTTTCCCTTCAGGATAGGCCAGTGCAGCCCAACAGAAAGAGCATGGATTCCACCTCTGGGTGCACCTCAGTCTCTCAGCCTGGTTCCTGATTTAAGATTGAGCCATTGGGCCAGTAGGTGGCATGGCAGTTAAGGTGTTCGACTTCCACATGGCCAACCACAATTCGAGTCCCAAACCTGGCAGCTTGCTCTCTCTCTCTCTCTCTCTCTCTCTCTCTCTCTCTCGCTCTCAAGCATGGAACAAATTTAAAAATAATAATAAATAAAATTAAATAGTTTCTTTAAAAAAAAAAAAAGATTGAGCCATTAACATTGACCATAGTGAGCATTTGATGACACAAGGGGAGGGAAGTGTCCATACCCTTCAGAATACCCCTCCCCTCCTCCACCCCTCAAGAGGATGCCAGGGAAAGAAGGCATAACCTGGGAATGCTTCCTTTTCCATGTACTAAGCAAGTGCCCTTGGGCAATAATGGCTCCTCTCTTGGAACCTTAGTCTACCAGTCAGAAAAATGGAAATCATTCCAGCCCAGCCTGATTGACAGAGCAGCAAGATGACTGACTAGAAATGCTTTACAAACTGAAGTGGCCATGACAGCCAGCAGTGATAGAAAGATTCTGTCCCCCAAGCTCTCCACACCCTCCCCCTCCCATCCTAGGTCTCCTCAGACACAGCTCCCAGACTAAGACAGAAAAGTGCCTCTCCACACACAAAGAAAGGCTTTATTCCTGACACCAGGCCTGAGACCCAGTCACTTGGCCCACCTGTGTGGGCCCAGACCCCGCCCCGCAATCACATTCCAGGGGCCCTGGAGCAGAGGGAGGGTTTCAGCTGTGACAACAACCATTGTGGGCAGGGACAAGGATCTCTGAGCAGTCCCAGCCTGGGGTGTGACTAGGCCTCTGCCTCCAGCTCAAAGACTTACTGAGGTGTTAGAGGTGGGAGCTTGCAGCCCCTAAGAACAGCAGAGGAGGTGGCCGAAGGGCCAGGGCTGTAGCAGGGCAAAAAAGATCTGGCCTCTGGGACCCATATGTTCACAGTCAACCAGCAAGCTAAGGCCCAGTTCTGAGACCCACAAGGAAATGTAGAAATAATGCCTCCTTCAGTACAGCATGGGTGTGATAGGTCAGGCCTAGAGCAGGGGGGTTGGGCCCACACAGCTTTCCAGTAAGACACCTCAGAGTGGGGACCAGGCAGTGGGCCTGGTGTACCACTACCCTGCACCTGACCTCTCACTGGAAGCAGGGAAATATCTTTATGAGCCTCTTATTTACCTTGACTTGGCTTCAGTTCTTGGCAGCTGAGCTGCAAACCACAGGGGGAGGACCATACCCACCCAAGGGCAGATTCGTACCAGGAAGCTGGGACTTTGTTCCTTTACTGGCCCAGGACAGGCCCCAGGCAAGCCAGGTTGGGGCTCTGTGTGGGAGGTCTGGGTCACAGCAAGGTCCTATTTTAGGCTCTGGGCCCAGGCATGACCTGGTGGGTGTAAGGGCTTACACAGGGCTGCCCCAGAATGGATAAGCGTGTCAGTGCACACACACTGACACGGTGCAGGCCCACCCTTGCCAGCCCTGCTCTACGTGGGCGCCTGACCCCAAAACTCCAGTTTGAGTAAAGCCAAGAAACGTGTCAGGGGAACTGCCTCAGGGGATCCAGTCCTGAGCCTTCATATGGAATGAGAATGGAATGTACTCTGAGGGACTGACATAAGCGTCAACTCCAGGGTAACACCTGGGGAGATGTGACACCACGAACTAAGAATCAGGAAATTTAGATTCGAGTCCTGGCTCTGCCATGTAGTTGCTGTGTTGCCTTGAACAAGTTACTTAAACCCTCCCAAGCCTGTTTCCAGATCTGTAACATGCAGCTCATGCTAACTCCCTTCCAGGGATGATTAAGTGGCACATAGTAAGTGTTTAATAAATACTAATTGTTCACACACACATCACATGCATGCATGTCTCAACCCCTGGGGGAAAATAATGGAAAGAAAACTGAATCTGGAAGCAAAAACCATAGCTTCAAATACCACCTTTGACAGGTATGAGAGCAATTACAATACAACAAGCCACTTTCTCACCCCGTGCCTACCTCTCTATAAGGTAGAAGCCAGTTTATTTTACAAGGTTATTGCAAGGAGCAGGTTAGATAAATGAAGACTTCTGCAAACAAAAATTACCATAGCAGTCAAAGTATATGAGTACTTTCCCTTCCCTTTCCTGAGACACTGTGAACTTTGTTTCAAATAACACATAAACAGGGCCAAGACGTGACCCTTCTTTCCATGGGCTGAAATAACAAACCAAATGTCCTTCCTCTCTCAGATCATAAAGTTTTATTGGCAGATCAGGGGAAAACCAAGATAAGGGTCCCTCTCCTCCCAAGGCTCTTCCCAGGGAATCCCTCTGCAGGCGGGCAGGAGCCCACAAGCCTGCCAACTCAGAGGCTCTTGGGGCTGGACAAGTCATTGTAGTGGGCCTCTTGGCCCTCAAGCAGGTTGCGGTAGGTGGCGATCTCCTGCTCCAGCCGCGACTTGATGTCCATGAGCCGCTGGTACTCCTGGTTCTGCCGCTCGGTGTCAGCACGCACGTCGCCCAGCTGGGCTTCGATACTGCTGATGAGCGCCTGGATCTGCGCCAGCTGCGCTCCAAAGCGAGCCTCTGTTTCTGCCAGCGTGCCTTCCAGGGCGGCTTTCTGACGGGAGGAAGAGGGGAGGACTCAGCAGAGAGGGCACAGGCACACGTGGCCAGGCTGCTCAAGGTGGTGAGGGCTTAAGTGTGTATCCCACACAGGGCAGGGCCACATACCATGCTCAGCTGTGTCTGCAGCTCAATCTCAAGACCCTGGAGGGTACGCCGCAGGTCAGTGACCTCGGACTTGCTCATCTGGAGCTGCTCTGTGTGGCCGGCCACCTCCCGGTTCAGCTCCTCGGTCTGTGCCAAGAGAGGAGGAAAGAATAAGACTAAGGCAGAACCTTGTGTGAGAAGCACCAAGCCCCCTCTCCTCGCCACTGCCCAAAGAGTGCCTGCTTCCCCCAGCTTACCCGGCTGATGAACCAGGCTTCGGCATCCTTCCGGTTCTGCTCAGCCATGACTTCATATTGGCTTCTCATGTCACTCAGGATCTTGGCAAGGTCGATGCCTGGAGCAGAATCCACCTCCACACTGACCTGGCCACCCACCTGGCCCCTCAGGGCACTAGTTTCCTGGAAAGACACAGCAGAGATGGGCATGTCAGGGCAGAGTCTGTTGGCCCTGGACCAAGCCATTCCCCCAACAGACCAAAGCAGGTTGGTGTCCAGGTACAGACCTAGGAGCCAGACGGGGGAGCAGACCAAGTCACCACTGTCCCCTGCTGGGACCCTGGGAACATCATGCACACCCAGAGCCATGTTGGAGGGGTGAGAGATGGCCAGCTTGAAACTCACCTCCTCATGGTTCTTCTTCAGGTAGGCCAGCTCCTCCTTGAGGTTCTCGATCTGCATCTCCAGGTCGGCCCTGGCCAGGGTCAGCTCGTCCAGCACCCTGCGCAGGCCGTTGATGTCGGCCTCCACGCTCATGCGCATAGCCTGCTCCGTCTCAAACCTTCAGAGGAAATAGTTGCAGTCAGACCAGAGTCTCTTCCACACTTCAAGATTTCACCACCTCCCCCAGAGTTCAGGGATCCATGCAGGGCCTGCCTCAAGTCAGCTGGGGTGCGTGAGAGCAAAGTAAAGTGCCCCTCCCTGCCTCACTGCACTGTTCCCTAAAGACCTGGGATGCTGCCCTCCCCTGCCCTGGCTTCTGCAGCCCCTAGGGCAGATACTCACTTGGTGCGGAAGTCGTCTGCAGCCAGACGGGCATTGTCAATCTGCAGGACAATCTTGGAGTTCTCAATGGTGGCACCGAGAATCTGGAAAGTAGAAGGCAGGAGGTTGGCACCAATTCAGCATAACTGTACCCGCTGTCTTCTCAGAGGAAAGTAGCAAACAACTACACCCCATCCCCACTCCCTAGAGACCACAGCCCCAGCCGCCCACTCCTGTTCTGGGAGGCCTTGGCATCAGTCCATGCCCAGCGGCTAGAATAGGAGGAAACACTTCAGAGAAGGCTGAGCACGGGAGGAGGATCGCCCAGAGGGCGAGAAGAGTATGGGCAGGGAGGGCAGGGAGGGCAGGAAGGCAAGTCTGGGGAGAAAACCTCTGAGGTATCTGCCCAGTGACACAAAATGGCCTATTAGGGGAAGGGGGCCTATAAACCAGATGCAGGTTAAGTGTAGGGGCCAAGAGAAGCAAGGAGAAAGGCTCACCCCTTTGTCTATACCACCCACATAAAAACACATTCTGCCTGCAGAGAAGGACATCCGTTTACTGAGATTCTGTTATGTGCCAGGCATTCAGTACCTCATCTTTTATGGCCTCTGTAACCTCAGGTCAGTGGCTCTCCTAGGTACAAAAGTGGCAGCTAAAGTTCAGGAAACCTCACCCAAGTTCACCCCAATAGAAGGGCTCTCTGATCTGAGAGACATATTCACACCAGTTTGTAGCCCAGTGGTGGGGGGGATGAGTGGAAGGAATGTACAAGGCTGCATGTTAAAATGGAGTGAAGGGGGGAACCAGCAGTTAGTGTAATGGCTATGTCGCTGGACTCCCACGTAGTCGACCGCGGTTCGTGTCCCGGACCCAGTGGCTTAAAACTCACGCCGGGCACGTGTGCGTGCGTGCCCAAGATCCCGAGAGGAGAATGGAGGAGAAGGGATTGTGGCGTGACCATCCCCCCTGGGGGGTGATTTCTCGCTTTCTGTCTCTCTGTCTCTCTCTGTCTGTCTGGCGAGCGTACGCGCCCTACAGTGAAAATCTCTCAAAAAAAAAAAATGGAGTGAAGGGGTTTTCAGAAAGTTCATAGAAATTTTGTATTATGAAAAAACTGTGCCTAGGTTTCAAAATTTTTTGCACCAGAGTAAATTTACTTTAATTCCATTTTTCCGATTTTCTAAAGTACCCTCTCATTTCTTATGGAAGGTTACAATTTACAAAATGTGTACAAACAGGACAAAAAGCTCTATTCTAGGTGGTTGTTAAGATCTCTAGCTCTCCCCCACAGCCTGTGTGGTTCCGGGATTCTGCCAGCCACCCAGCACGCTGGGCACTGGGAAATGTTTTGGGGAGCTCTGCGTTGGGAGACCCAGCAGTGTGATCTCTCTGGTCTCTGATCTCCAGGACCCTGCTCTTCCCTGTACATGCAAGTCAAGGCTCCCCTCTAACAGCTTGTGGCTTAGACTCCAGATCTCCAGCCCAAGACCACCCTGAGCTGACTCAGACTCAGTCTTCCCAAGCAGAAATCAAGGCAAGCCAACAATGGGGGCATCTGGCCCAGGGGCCACAGCTGGCCTCTCCCATTCTTCCTAGAGCTCCTCTTAGGACCTGGGTGGCCACCTGGGAGGAACAGGAGAGGAGGCCAAAGCCTGGACGTGATGGAAACCAGACCTGCCAGGCTAGGGACAAGGAATGCAGAGGCCCCACACTGAGGTCATTAGGGGTCAGGTAGGTGCTGTTTGGAGAGGCTGGGAAGCGGTGGTTCTGGCTCAGTGTGGATCAGACCCTCCAGGCCAGACTCTGGCATCTCCCTACTGTGGTCTCCGTCCCTGGCTAGACCCCTGGACAATACGCAGCAGTGTCCCATAGCTTCGCATTCTTGGAATCCGCATTCCCAGCCTGTCTGATCCGCGCTACCACTTCCTCCCGGCACTCCAACCCCGCCCCTGCCTCCTCTACAGGTCCCGCCCACTTACCTGATCCGCCCGGCGCCCCTCTTCCCTCCACCTGGACTCCACTTCTTGCCCCATGGTCCTGCCCCCCTGCTTTCTGTCCCCCTTATCTCTGCCCCACCCTGCGGGCTCTCTCGTCCTAACGGGCTCGCTCCCGCCCCCGACTAGGCGGTGGCTCCGGACCGCCGCGTGGGCTGGGTTTCCGCGGCGGCACCCGTCTACCCGCCCAGCCGCGGCAGGTGCACTTCCAGTGGCCCGGCCGCCGCCCACCTTGTCCCTCAGGTCCTCAATGGTCTTGAAGTAGTGGTCATAGTCGCGGGAAGGCCCAGGCCCCTGCTTCTGGTACCAGTCGCGGATCTTCACTTCCAGCTCTCCGTTGGCCTCCTCCAGGGCGCGCACCTTGTCCAGGTAGGAGGCCAGGCGGTCGTTGAGGTTCTGCATAGTGACCTTTTCATTGCCCGCCAGCAACCCATCGGAGCTGACCAGGGTGCCCGCATAGCCGCTACTGAAACCCCTGCCGAAGCCCCCAGAAGAGGACGAGGTCACAAAACGGGCAGAAGACACAGACACGCCACGGCCTCCTGAGCCCCCGTGGATGCTGGGTGCACGGAAGGTGCCACCCGCCCCAAAGCGCACAGAGCCACCGCCCAGGCCCCCGTAGGATGAGGTGGCAGACGATTGACGATAGCTGTAGGAAGTCATGTCCAGGCAGAGGACGCAAGTGACACTGATTTGAGGAGCTGGATGGCAAGAGGAGTGGCGAGCCTTTCACCTGGCCAGGCCTTTTATGCCTGAGGCAGGACGGGGAGGGGAGAATGGTGTCAGGGGCGTATATCTGAGACCCAGAGGAATTTGCAGGCTTCTGAGTGCAAATAGGGACACTCTCCCCATTGGTCAATTCCCGTGGCTCTGCCCCTAGCTCTCCCCTCCCAGAGACCAGAGGCTCCTGCCCTCCCTTCCCCCTCCTATTATATGTGTATTGTACAAAACCCCCTCGCTCTTTAAGATCACCCAGAGTTTGACGAGCCCCCCCATCACACACACACACACACACACACACACACACACACGGATTATACTTTCACATACCCCCACCTGGTGATCACTCCTCCGAATCCCTTCTGGAATCATGTTGTGAGCTCCTTGCTGGTGATCACAACCGATGTGCCCCTGCCCAAAGTACATTCTCCAGATTTTCACACCCCACTGGCAATTACAGCCTCTCTGAACCCGTGCCCTTGGGGGATCACCCACACCTTGCATCCCTCTTAGTCCCTTTTGACAAACGCACCGTTTCCAGAAAGAGGTTCCCTGAATCTGCTTGCTCCCTGGCCTCCGGAGACAAAACTGCCCCACCCTGCGGTGGCCCAAGGGGACAATAGGCTCCCGGAAACAGCTGCAGGGAGTGGTTCTGCCAGCTGGACTGGCACCTTCACAATCTCAAGCTTGAGCCTGACTCCCACCTAGGAGCTGAGTTCCACTCTGGGACTCTCAACATCCCAAAAGCATACATTTATTTCAATGACTGTTCACTGGGTTGCTTCCATGTACCCAAAATGAGGAATCTGAGTCGGGGATGGGGGACTGAGGTGGAGGCAAATCACTTGCCCATGAGGCATTTAGCATGTGCCACCCAAAGACAAAATGGAATGGCATCCCTGCCCTCCTTGAGCAGGGGGGGGGGGGGGGGGGGGGTCAGAGGACTGCTGAATCTGCACGTCTCGTAGTCTTCTTGTCCCATGATGTGGGTGAATAAATGAATGAGTTAGGGAGCCACACAAAGGTGCCATGTGCAGAGTGAAGAGTTTTGATAACAGAGGAAGGATTCTCTCCACTCCATACCAGCCCCCAGCCCTGCTCTTCATCCAGTTCACTGATTCCAAGCACCTTTTCTGAAGTCTTGGAAGGGCCAGGCCCCACTAGACACTGCAGTGCACTGCAGCAACCCCAGTCTAGTTCCTCCTTCCCATCCTGTATCAGAGCAATGATCCAGGCTCAGGACAGAGGCCTTGTGCCCTCCAGAGACAATGTTAGAGATATGGGTCAGTCACTCCCCATCTCTAGGCCTCAGTTTCCCCAGTGAAATAAGGGGTTCCCTAGCTCTCCCCTCTTCTCTGCATATTATCACCTGGGTCACCTGTTATTAATAAAGATTTATCCCAGTTTCTGAAACCTCAGGCCCCAGCAGATTGTCTTCCAGTCACTAGCTTATCCAAGATCCGAGACAGGACCCCCCCAAAACACACACACTCCACCTTTTATTTTCACACACACACACACACCTTAACCTACCAGGAACAGCCTTCAGCCACTCAGGAAAGCCAGCCTGAGGCTGTTTAAACTAGTGAATCCGTTGCAGGAAGCTGGAAGGTCTTTGGGGAACCTGGGCAGGGAATGGTGGCCCAAGGCCGGCCATGAAAACAGGGTGTGGGCCTTCGCAAAGGTTGTAGCTGCCAGAGCTGGGATGATGTGAGTCACTCTCATTATCTGGCCCTGAGGAAGAGGATTGTTCCTTGTGGGGGAAAGGGGAGATGGGCCAGGTAGTTGCTAAGCACACCAAGCCCTAGTCAGAGTCTATTTTCCCAGCCTGATAGGAGGGTCTGGGAAGGGACTTTGTATTAGGAAACAAAGATAAAATTGACAGTTCAACCCCTAAGATTAAGGTATTCTAAGCTCCCTAAAGCTCAGAGAAGCTTAGAGTCCCAGCTCCTTACTCCAGAGCCATGACCATTAGCACAATTGACAGTAGGACAGTACAAGTTACAAAGCTTTTTCAAATCTCTTTGGCTCCTTGCAGCTCAATAGAAAAGGTCTGCATTTCCCTTATGATGAGGGATATTGAGCATTTTTTCATATGCCTTTGGCTATTTGTATGTCATCTTTAGGGAGTGTTTTTTCCAACCCCAATCAGAATGTCTAAGATTAAAAAAAAAAAATGATAAGTGCTGGCGGGGATGTGGTGAAAGGGGACCTCTCTTACACTGCTAGTGGGAATGTAAATTGGTCCAGCCACTGTGGAGAACAATTTGGAGATTCCTCAAAAATCTACAAATAGAACTACCATATGATCCAGCAATCCCACTCCTTGGTATCTACCCAAAAAACAGAAGAATTCTTCATTGGAAAAGTGTTTGCACATCGATGTTTATTATGTCACTATTCACGATTGCTAAGACATGGAACCAACCCAAATGCCTCTGACGGATGAATGGATTGAAAAACTGTGGCACATATACTCTATAGAATAATATTCAGCCATTAAAAAAATAAATAAAAAACCCTGGCTTTTGACAGAAAGTGGAAGAATATGGAAGATTTACTGCTGAGTGTAGCAAGCCAGGTTATGAAGGAGAGACATTGTATGTCCCCACTTAATATATACCAAGTGTCTGCATTCAATGACTGAAACTGACTAAAGGATGTACAAACACAAGAGCAGGTCCACAGTCAGGAGTATTGAATTATGGCTTCCAGCCTTTTCACATACAGCCCCATGGCCTAAGATTTTGAGTGACTAATGAAGACTTGTCCCCAGTCTCTGAAACCTAAGTCCCCACAAATTGTACTCTAACCACCAACTTGTCTCAGAATAAAGGTAAGAAACCCCAACCCACACCTCTAACCTACCAGGAACAGCCCTCAGTCATTCAAGAAGGCCAGCTTGAGGCTTTTAAAACTAGTGGACAGAGACTCTAAAAGGTTAATAACTTGATTCAAGTCACACACGGGACCCAGGATTAAGGGACCCTTAACTTCCCAAGCCACCTTCCTACCACTAACGTTGTCCCTCCTGTCGTGGGGTAGAGGACAAGGTGTTCTCCTCCATTGGTCTGGAGAAACAGTTATCAAGCCAGGGAAGGCATAGTATCACCTGCCAAGGTCCTATCTTGTTCCTCTTGTTCCAATATATGCAATTATTTGGTCAGCCAATGGGTTCATTCCAGTAAGATTCCTCAAAGTTCAGCCTAGCAGAGAAGATAGTCTTGTATACAGGAACAGAACAGAATTTACAAGCAGGAGGAGAGAAAGGTAAATGAGTAGAAGCCTCATGAACTTGCTTGTTATGTAAATTAGTAACTCCTTACTTAGACACCACCCTCTTCTCCAGGGACTAACAACATGAAGGGTCAAGGTACTTTCTCATCCACTCCTCCACTCAGGGGATGTACATCAAGCCTCTTCTAGGCCAGGTATGCTGCTGGGTGCTGGGATATAGCAATAAATACAAACTTGTCCTGCTTCTAAGAGGCTGACAGACTGGTAGGGGGAGTAAGACATATTTATTGTGATGAAATGTGATAAATTGAATAGTCGCATTAGTTTTTGTTTCTTCTTAAAACCTTGCCAAGATGACAGTTACATAATATTTAAAGAAGATAAAATGTCAGCAAAAATTTTAAATTTGGAATGGGAACATGGCAGACAAGAGATAGCTGAGACTTAGGGTTTGGAGAAGCAGGAAGAAGTACATAAAAGCGGAGGGCAGGATCCCATAAGAAGCAAGGAGTTCTCCACACACCCCTAAAGAAGCTGAGGAACTGGGGGTACTGAGTACCTTGAGAGGAAAAATGGACCACGAATACATCTGGCTGGTAGGTTCTATAATTAGTGCCCAGTTTCCCTATCAACCAAGGGCAGCCAGGTGACTACCTCTCCCCAACCCAAGAAAAAAAAACAAAAGATTTACTTTCCCCCGTTAGATTGGCAAAGTTACAAAGTTTGATAATATCAAGTGTCAGGGAAACCACAGGCAAATGAACCGTCTCAAACACATTGGTGGGAGGTGAGTTGCCACAGCTACTTGGCAAGGAGACTTGGCAGCACTTCCATTAAAGCTTATGAGGGTGCTGGCCCCATGGCTTGGTGGTTAAGAGAGCCAGATCCCACATGGCTGACTACAGGTTGAATCCCAGCCCCTGGGGTTTGAAAGATATATCAGGCATGTGTGCTTATATGCCCAAACTCCCAACAGGATGGAGAAAGAAGAAGGAATTGCAGCATGACCACTCCCCATTAAGCAGTGCTTTTCCCCTGTTTCGTGTGTGTGTGCACATGTGCGTGCATGTGTTTGCGTGCATCTGGTGCATGCACACACCCTATGGGAAAAAAAAAATAAAAACCTTATGTGCTACCAGGTCTATTCTTCGTATTTGCCCCAGAGAAAACTTTGCCCAGTATTCAGGAATACACCTGAAAGGATGGTCTTTGAAGCCTTGCTTATAATAGTCAAAAGAAGGAAACAATCACTAGTCGGGGGATGGCTAAGTAAACTATGTAACATCCACATAGGGAGGATTAGAAGCAGGAAGTAGCAGAATGAGTAATGTCAGTACAAAGTGACATGGAAAACACTGAAGAACTGAGTTGAGTACAATAAAAGCAGTGGGAGAACAATGCGTATGATAAGTCAATGCATGTTGACATTCATTCAAAAGATGACTTACTTCTTACTTCTGCAGGTACATGTGAATACGTGTATAAATGCATGTGTATGTGATAGATACGGAAAGAAACACACCAGACTGACAAGAGAGATTTCCTCTGGAGAGAAGCTGCAAGAAGCTTTGTAGTCAAGGGGAACCTAAACTTGATCTCTTTGGTTTTACTTTTTACAAGGTTGTATTTATGCATTACTTATTAATTAACCATAAGTAGTTTCCTAAGAATAGTCATTATTAAGAACTGGTTGAGTTTAATACAGTAAATACCTCCTTCCCTACCCTGCATGCCTCGCTGACATAACTCTCTCCACTCATCTATGCCAACACTCTATTCTTTTTTTTTTTTTTTTGAG